AAAAAATGCGCACCTGGTATCTTATGTATGAAGCTTATTGATTGTCGTGTGTCGTAACACGAAAATCGGCAAACAAAGTCATGCCTTACCGACCCTGTATACATGCGAATTTTAATCGCAATATGTACAGGGTGTCCCACTAAGAATAGCTCCCGGCTGTATCTCAGAAAGTATTAGCCGTATGGGCTGCGGAGAAAAATATTTATAACTAAAGAGGCTATGAAAAATCGCTGTAAATTATTCAAGTTTGTAGAACGACCGCTAGGGGGCGCAACTGCAACAAAAAATAAGAAAATGGAGTTTTTACACCATTTTGCCTAGATAAGGTGTACTATAAGTAATAGCTTCATAATCCTCAGCAAATTTTGAATATTTTTTGTTAGAGCCATTTTCCCCTATCTACCAAAATAAAGTGGTGGGGGAAGGTTAGATCTGTTTTTATTTAAATATTAATAACTCTGGACTGGATGATCGGAATCCAACAAGCTAGGGCTCGTTTAAAAGAGCGTTTCTTACTCTATACTGTACCATATAAACAATAATAATATGCTTTTGAACGTAGACGCTAGGGGGCGTTGTCTTTACAATTTAACAAACATTGCGCGTTTTTTCAAAAAAAAATAAACGCAATAGTATAAGTAATTATTATTATTATTATTATTATTATTATTAATTTTAACTGATAGTAAAGAGTAGTAAAAGCTTAAAAAGTTAGCAAAAACCACATCTTGATATCTTCTTTCAAACCGAAGATATTAGCAAAATTATAATAAATACCAAAAAATAAGCCCTTAATTACCTTATTTTTACAACACGGTATCAGTAGCTCTCTTGATTATGCTCATTCCAACAAAAAAATAAGATAGAAACAGTTAGTCTAACGATGATTCAGTGAAGTCATGGTAGGCTTTGGAAAAAAGTTGCTTTTCACGTAATAGTATAAACGTCAAATTGTTATTAGATCAACATTTTGAGAGTCTTAGCAGCGTTTTTTATCTTTTGATTGCTTTTTCAAAATGCCAACAACTACTTCAAATAATGAAGGTATTTTGAAAAAAGCAATTAAAAGATAAAAAAACGCGGCTAAAACTATCAAAATATTGATCTATTAACAGTTTGACGTTTATACTATTACGTGAAAAGCAACTTTTTTCCAAAGCCTACCATGACTTCACCGAATCATCGGTTCTTGTTCACTGTTATTAATATCTTAGTTATTACATATTACATATTAATACCTCTGATATTATGGTATTCTAGTATTTCGTCGATTTTAAAATCACACCATTGGTCGGCAAGCTCCCCGCCCCAATTTCAAATTGTCAAACAGATGACACAATAAACGCGAAAATAATTTTTCAAATGTCAAGCTCGATAATTTGACATAACTTTTGGGGTTATGTCCTGATTCTTCCCTATTTTAGGTCTTTTTTTTATTAGTGGCAATTGAACAATATGGATATTTTTCTGTATGGCGTATGACGTCACAGGTGGTATGCGCAAACTTCACGAAATTGGAGCCGCTATCGATCATACCTTGTTTTCTTTGTACCATGACCTTGAACGATCTGTTTTTGGGGTAGTAATTTCCTGGGGCGCTAGATGGCGTATTTTTATTTTAATTTTTCTAGTTGCCTAACAATTGCGTACAAAATGGTTTTTATAGTTGCCTAAATAGGCCTATTAATTATGTTCTGTCATTGTTCTGTATGTCAAATCAGTTTTCCGTTTCCGGCTTCCTCCTTCCTCTTCAGTTGTATTTTGCAATTGAACGGAGATGTGCGTTTCGCTGTTTTTTGGTTGTTTGGCTGTGTTTTTTGCAATCTTCATTTTACAATCGTGATTTTGTATTTTTGAATTTTTTTTGAACTTTGTTTTGTGTTTGATTTTTAAGATCTTTATTAAAGGTAAGGTTTAAGTTTAAGGTCTTTGATTTATCTAACAATTTTATTTAATAATCCGAGAAAGTGAGGTAACCTAACCAAGTCCAAATTTTCGTGAATTTTATTTTTAACAATGTAATATTTACAAAGCCATATATTTTTACAAAAAAATTGATCAACTCCATATTTTTGTACATAAACTCCACAATGTGATATTACACAATTGTTCAAGTCCATATGTAAAAATACATGTAAATAAAACATTGTTTCTAATGGACGTCACTTTCTCTTGTATTCCAACGATATTTGTTATGTGTTCTTAAATCTGGTACTATAATAAATATTATACTTTTTAATCTGTTGTTTTATTTGTTTGTAAAATGTTTCATGGTATAATTTTCTGTAAATTAAAATAAATTATTTATTGTAGGTTTTTATGCACATACAATGATATAAGCAAACCATTTAATACTTTACAATAGTTTAACCTGGTTTAACCTTTATATATAAATCCTTGTTTTTTACCATTTGACTTGTTTGCCAACTTGGGACCAATCAGATGACTACACATTATTTTGTAGTAATCTGATTGGCTCTAACCTAAGGCTCTAACTGGCGAACAAATCAATACGTCTTGCTTAAAAATAAATTGCATCTATTTAAATTTGCCGCCACATTTGTTACTTTCCTGGGTGGCTAGATGGCGCCACTTCAATATACAGATTACAGATTTCTTTACAAATTTGAAACCGTTTTGAAACTAAAAAATGCATGGGAGTTAGCGTTCTTCTTTAGTGTGTTCTGTGGGCTAATGCTTTCCGAGATACAGCCGAGAGCTATTCTTAGTGGGACACCCGGTATATGCAGGACTTAGCAAAAAATAAAGAGGTAAGGGGATTCGATCATTTACGCGGCCACTGTAAAGTTGATACAAGTAAAAAGAAAATTAGACAGACTCAATGCCTATTTTTTTACGGGATTAATTATATTTTAATCATGTTTTCTTTAAATGCTAAATTCTTAAATATCTTTAAGAAAATAATGTACCTAATACATTTTCGGTACAACTTAAATTTATCAGTTAAAATCAGTACATATTGTTTGCTTGAATTGTATTTCCTGTACCATTTGAAATTAGATTCCTGTGAATTATAGATACTCGTATCTTATATCTGTAAACTGTAAATAACATTCCTAAAATATATCGGTATACGTGCGATATCACTCATTTCAATAACCTCAAATTAAAAAAAAAATAGTTTATTCATCATTCATTAACAAATTCATCGTTGATAATTGTTCCGTAAGTATATATTTTATGCATCAGCTATAAATATTTTACAAATACCTTATAAACTAATTAATCAAACAGGGGCTTTAATAAACATCGTGCAGACATTTATTTGTAGGTAGTGTTTATACCCCAGTCAAAATAAACAAAAAAAGAGGGTTAAATAACAATAATTCGCATAGAGCTGAAAATTGGTACAGGTCTTAAATATACTATTATAAATAATATTTGAAAAATCCCCACACCTCCCACGTCTGCTAAATTATTCAAGGTTAAAAGTCAAAAATATGTTTTTTTTTTTCTTTTTTCTCCTAAACGGTAAGCGCTATCGCAAAAGTACCTTAAACAAATGTAGACCATTAAATTTTCTACAATAATGGTCCTTATACTTTTTTCTTACGAACAACCATTCCTGAGATATGGCAATTTCAAAAGTGTAGTCTGTAGGCCTAGTCCACGATCTATGGTGGTTTTATTACACATTATACTATTAATTTTAAAAAACGGTGCTCTTAGTAATGATTATAGTCGAACGGATTATTGTTGATTTTGGGAGAATTTTAATCTGAGTGGTAATCTTCAAATGATACTTCAACAGTAATGTGTGCGCAGACGTATTCAAAAAGATTGACTCTTCTACACAAGTCATCATCACAAGTGGAATTCGCTTGCTTCTTGCTATATATGGTGCTCCAAAAAAAAATTGATTCTATAGACAAGTATAGATATTTAAGTTTTGTTAAAAACACTTGGAACAATAAAATCGTACAACTTTCTTGTCTTCCTACAACATCTGCTTCTGCCTGTCAACACTTATATCGTGTATACTATCAAGTTCAATTGTGGCTAGGCAATCAACTGTACCCAGAAGACCGGGGCTGGAAATTTATAGATAATACTTTGGAGCTGATTAAAACTTTACTTCCACCTGCTCCAGAAAAACGACTTAACACAATTTTTTGCAATCGCAAAAAGGGTTGTAGCGCAAAATGTGGTTGTAAAAGAGTCGGATTATTTTCTACACCAATATGTACTAATTGTCAATATTGACTAAAATACAAATGAGGATTTTGATAAGGAGACAACTGATGCATCTGTCATAGATGGATTTCCAGATATTCCGAAAAAAGATGAGAAAGAAGAAAGCGAAGGAGACATTACTGTTAAAGTATCATTTGAAGATTACCACTCAGATTAAAATTCTCCCAAAATCAACAATAATCCGTTCGACTATAATCAGTACCAAGAGCACCGTTTTTTAAAATTAATAGTATGTGTAATAAAACCACAATAGAAAGTGGACTAGGCCTACAGGGGAAACCACGTTAAAAAACCGCGCCCAGTACACTACCTCACAGAAAAATGAACATGAAAAATACGAGTTTTTCAACTTTTGAAACCGCCATATCTCAGGAATGGTGGTTCGTAAAAAAAGTATAAGAACCATTATTGTGGAAAATTTAATGGTCTACAACATTTGTTTAAGGTACTTTTGCGATAGCGTTTACCGTTTAGGAGAAAAAAGCAAAAAAAAACATATTTTTGACGTTTAACCTATAATTTTTTTAGCAGACGTGGGAGGAATGGGGATTTTTCAGATATCATTTATAATAGTGTATTTAAGACCTGTACCAATTTTCAGCTCTATGCGAATTATTGTTAATTGAAATGTCTGTTTTGATTGGGATATTTTATTTTTTACAAAGACAAAGAACAAAAACAAATTGATATATAAACGGGTGATAACAATACATACATTTAAAGTTTGTATTAAAAAATATATAAAAAATATTTTTAAGAATATGTGTGAAGAGAAAAAACATAAGAAGATTACTAAAATCGCTTTATTATCTATGAAATTCGATAGGTAACAAAAATACTTTAATCTAACATAATTTAAACGTATTTTCAAAATATAATAATTAGAATGAAATAAATAATAATGTAAACGATAAATAGCAGCACGTCAATAAATTTGCCAAAAACTGCCCAGTCTGAGTTTGAACTTGGTGGAGGAGATTCTGAATTGGAAATGATCGTAACACCATCTTCTTTATTTTCAGCTGATGCGGAACCCTAGTATAACATTGGTTAAGATTAATATACTTATATATTTACTCATAGCATTTTTAATAACTCAAGGATTATAAAGAATATTTTCAAATATGTAATCCCCACCTGATTTTTTTGCCACTTATTAATGTACTTACTCCCTGCCATCATTGGCGTAACTACATGGGTGTCTGGTGGTGCCGGGCACCCCCATGTGCTGCTGGGCACCCCCCAGAGAAATCCTGAATTATGACTCTTAGCTACGTATTAATTTTTATTTGCCTGTGATGCAGTAAAAATGACGTTTTCTAATTTTGTTTAGTTAATATTATTTTGTGTGTTCAAAAAAATGTGTGAATTTTTATTTTTTTAGAAAATTGGTAGGTATTTAAGTAATTTACACGAACACGGTTTGATAACCAAGTCTATGAAATTTATTGATAGAGAAATTCATGTAAACGTTTTATTCAAAAAATGTGTTTTTTTAAATTATTTTTCCTTTTTAAAAAAACGAAAGCCCTAGGCCCCCCTAGGCTCAACCCCGCCCCCCTTTGCCTAACCACCCCTAATCTACCCCCAGGATAAATTGCTAGTTACGCTAATGCCTGCCATATTGGTTAGTATCATGCCCTAGACACTCAATGGTAATTTTATAGAACTCCAAATTTAGTTTCTTCCGCATCGCCAGACGGCGCAAAAGACATTAAAGTACAGGTTTCTAATTTATATATGAAGATGACATGACAATCCCTATGTTGACTATTGTCTGTGGTCTAGTTTTTGTCTAATTGATGTCAATTAGACAAAAACTGTTGACATTTTGACAAAATGTTGGTGATCCGTCAAGTTATTTTTAAATCATTATTTTGATCATTATTTAAATAATCATTAATTCAGATATTCCTGATTTATCGGAAAGTTCGGTGATTTCAGTGATTTGTGTTTATAGTTTGTGTTTTTATTAGTTTGTGCATTCTGATATTTAGAGTCGATCATCATTTTCGTCTTAGATACTAAACTTTTTTATTAAAGTCATTCTGACATTTTAGAAAGTATAAATTTATGAACCAAATAAAAAAAATAGTTTAATCATAAATAAGTAAGTACATAGTTGGTAATATATAGTATTTTTTGTAACAGTTAATTAGTAGTCTATAATATTTTTGCTATAATTTATTTGTTAAATCAAAAAATAGGCGCTATGTGCTCTATTGTTGGTGTTTAAAATGTATGTATATATTTTAATTTTGTTTTAATTATGTTACACTTCTAATGATCTAATAAAACATAAAATGCAACAAAAAAGTCTATATTTATTATTTTATATTTTACAAGGAGTAATTTTGAGCTTGAATAAGGTTACCCTTTTAGTTAGCGTTAATAAGTAACGGAACGCTAAAATTATGTTATGCCAAAACTCTCCATTAGTTTCTTCCGGATAACCAGGTGGCTCTAAATGACGGACCCATTTGTTTTATATCAGTGTCCAATCTATCTCTAGTACATGACATTAGTCTATGGTTAGTATACACGGTCCAATATAATCGTTGTAGTCGAAGATATGAAAAAAATTTTAGAGAGATGTTACTTGGTTTATATTTATAACGATGCATGCAAGTTTTTTTTAAATTTCACTCCTCATTTTTCTGTACGTAATTGGATTCAGCACAGAATTCTGGATACAGTACACCATTTTTATTTGAAACCCTATGTGGTGTTGCCATTCTACACTGTCAATTTTAAAACTTCCCACCCTTAATGTCATTCTTGCAGTTAAAAATATGAAAAACCGGAAAGAGACGTCAATTTTATATGTAAGGGGGACACTTTAAATGAATATTTTTAGCCTTTTTCTTTTAACCCCATAGGAGTGACAGATGTCACCTAGTAGCCTAATCTAATCATTTGTACTACAAGGAAATCCATTGCAATAATTTTTGTGTAAACACTAGCCTGAAAACCAAAATCCGAGTGCAGACATGTTTAATTGTTTTTGCAACTTTGAAACGCGATTATTCGGAAACAAACATCTCGACAAAAAGCAACAAAGTAGGATACCACTGAAAAGAGAATTAAACGCCCTTTAAAACGATGTGCTACTTGACCCCCATTCCCATTAAAGATTGTAAGGGTGACATCTACCCCTCCTAGGAGGTTGAAAGAAAAAGGGTAAAAATATTCATTTAAACTGTCCCCCTTACAAATAAAATTGACGCGTCTTTCAGATTTTTCATATTTTTCACTTCAAGAAAGATATTAAGGATGGGAAGTTTTAAAACTAACACAGTGTATGTCTTATTTACAAAAACTGTGGTTACATAAAATGTGGTTAAAAACTGGTTCAAACATGACTTTATTCATACTTAACTTCAACTATGTTTTCCTAAACAGCAAGAATAAAAATAAACTCGTAAAGGAATATTAATATTTGCATTCTATACACAGGGTATTTTTTGCTGTTGTTAAATGAAAAACCCTGTATATTATTTTTCGTTTAGATGCAGAATTAAAAAAATTATAATTTTTGTATATAAAGTGTTCCTAATTTTTAGCTATTTTGCAGATATTCGTTGTATACATACTAGTTTTTTACATACAACATATAAAATATGTCCCATTATATGCAACATCTGTATAAAACTTTATTTCGTATATTCGACAAGAACGATATTGGACTTCCTTGCACTAATGGACCACCCTGAATACATAATACCGTATGATCGAAAAAACCGGCGTCAGAGAAGGCTATGAAATAAAGATCGCTCTCGTTTTATATGCAAATTTATATGAGAAATATCTTCGATCGTCATTTGCTAGCCAACTGGACGTCGTTTTTTTTCGATCTTACCACATATGATACAGTTCACACTTGATCCTGTAATGATACATCTGACCAAAAACGTTACGTAAAGTAAGAATAAATACAATAGACAATGGAAGTCCAAAATTCATATACTTTCATATTAGATAATAGTTCCACAAATTTGAAAATTAATGTCATTTAAAACTGTTTTAAAATGTAGAATAATTACCTTCAAAGAGTTGTCTGCCAAAAATATAATCTGTCCTGGTCTGGAACTAACCAAAACCGAAACTGTTCCAGATACCCAAGATGGAGTGAAGCTCTGAGTAGTTATCAACGATTTTAAGAAAATGGTCGCCACTATGCTGAAGCCGGCTAGTAAAGTCGAATCCCTTGAAATGGCCACTAAACAAAATAAGGAAAGATTTGTTTAACTGTTTTTAACAAATACATTATATCAAGCTGAACTAATAGTTGAGTAATCAGATTTACACCCTGATGAAATTCATCAAAATGTTAATTCTGTATACTAATCGATGAACAGTTTTTTGAGATATCTTGCAAATCTTGTGAATTGATATTAAGATATCTTGCAAAATGGAGATATAGCAATATTAGTTAAAAGTTGGAGTATTTTTTATTGCATAATGTTCAAGAACTTTTTTACAACTTATCGACTCAGCTTGTGCATATAGTGTGTATTGAAGAAAATTGAAGTGAAAAAATAGATTTTAAAATGTTTTCTTCCACCTAAGAAAAGTTATTTTGATACACTGTATACATATACCGGGTGCGTCTCGAAAGTGGCTCACCCCTATAACTCTTTTATTTTTTTAGATAAAAAACCGTGTCACTTCCTGTTTCAACGGAAATGACTAGAACTTTTGATTTTTAAATAGCACCCTCCTTTTTTTTACTTTATTCGATAGAAAACTACTCTCTGAATCGAATGCCATATCATATGTCAACTTTTGACATATTTACTCAAAAACAAAGTGTAGTTTAAATTTTCATCTAGACTGCCTTGGCTGTGTTAAAAACAATAAACAAATAATTTTTAACCAAGGAATGGAAAAATAGATTTGATCGTCTTATGTTTTTAGTGTCCTGACCGGTTAAAAAATGCCCATATAGTATTTTTAATCGTATCTCAATTTTTTTCAAATGGAATGGGAGTGGCTCAATAGCATATTTGGAAAAAGGATTTTACAAATAATTTGATACCACACACTTGGTATTTCAAGTCAAATTGTCATTATGAACCACATGTTATAATTTCAAATAAACCATATGCGAAAATGTCAAAAGTTGACATTGATATGTCATTCTATTCAGAGTGTCATTTTCTATCGAATAAAGTAAAAAAATATAATTAGTGCCATTTAAAAATCAAAAGTTGTAGTAATTTCCGGTGAAACCGGATGTGACCGAAAACAGTTGAATATGTCAATCAATCCTAATTTATGTCATATATACTATCATACCAAATCTCGTTTTTTATCTGAAAAAATAAAAATGTTATAGGGGTGAGCCGCTTTCGAAACGCACCTGGTATTATATACCGATTTGGTCATTTTAGAAGTGTGGTCTGGATTTTAACGTGTAAGACAGAGAATAATATATAAACGACCGGTTGACAGACAGATAGACAAAATCAAAAGCGGCATACAGTATTGCCGGTTTTTACGTTTGTAGAAAAATTTGTGTAGATAAAAATAAACTATTTTAAAAACTCTCATGTATACTACTGATATGAAGATAATATATCTAAGCTAAATATAATCTATTACACCTGTAGTAAAATTAGTAACTAATTGTGAAAAGTAAGATTCCAACCCTAGCTGCAAACATTTTTCGTAAAAGCATACTTGTGCGGTTTGAACTTTTGATGCAAAATACCGCATAGAAGAAATCTATTAACCAAACTATTATCTCTTTTTATATATTTGATTTTCCATTAAGCTGCCTACTGTCTTTCACGATAAAATCCAGACCACATTTCTGAAATGACCAAATCGGTATACCATCCTGGACACTTTATCTACGTAGCCTGAATTTTAATGCATACTACCGAGATAAATATAAATGACCGGTTGACAAACAGAGAGACAAAATAAAAAGCGGCATACAGTGTTCCCGATTTTTATGTGTGTAGAAATCATTGTCTTGTACGTTAAAATCCAGACCACGCTTTTATGATGACTCGATCGGTATATTATAGATAAATATTTCCTCATTTGTTATTATTACAACATTACTTGCTTTTTTTGTAAATTTTTCATTAATTTATGATCAATAGATTGGAATTATTGTTAAGATAATTTTGCAATTAATTAAAATATAATCAATAGTATATTTTTAAGGATTTTAACTGCTTATGATTGTACCCAAACAGATTAAGTTTTGAATTGATGCTCAAAATTCGTCCAATCATTCAGGAAATTTATATACATAAATACTCACGTAGACTAGGTATGTTCTCGCCAGACAGTGGTACTACGTATGAAACGTTTTGTAGATGGTATATATGGGCTATTAGGTTCACGCAACTTAGTATTAGTCTGTCTTTGTTCAGTGGAGACATGGCCATTGTAGTTAGAGTGATCAGTATGCAAACTAAAATAATAAGATTTTAAATTACAATAATCAACATATTTTCAACAATAAATACTACTATAATAGATGAATGTTATATTGCAGTCCCCCTTTTTACGCGGCATATTTATACGAGGGTTCGCTAATGTGGGTTTGAATTATTGACACCAGTGACTTATTTTGCGCGGTTTTAGTTTGGTTTGGTTTAGTTCCATATCAAATAGGAAAAGTTTAGATGGATGTAACTCAATACAAAAAGCAGTCAACAAGTTGTGCCTATTCTCGCATGTACTTATGATGAAATCTGTTTTCAGTTTTTCACAAATACACGGGACCTATAGAATGTTCAGCCATCGTTCACCGTCACGTCATATATTGTCGAACTTTCTCAATCACTTGAGAACCTAGGTCATATATATTTACGTGGATAAATCAACGTCATATGTTTATCATTAAAAAATATGTCTCCAACATCACGACATGATATTTTCAAACCTTCTTTATTGCACTTATAAAACGTTCAATAGGTTTGTCTTTCTCGAGGACCTTACTTTGCGCATGCGCATTAAAAGTTGCACGTATTTTCAAAATAATCACAATTTTATACGGTTTAGAAAGTACCATTGCGATAAAAAAAAGTAGCACAACAAAATATGATTTAATCTGCTGGTCTATAATAAAATAAAAAAAAGCTTGAAAAATTGCCCATTTTTAAAAGATAGTTAAATTTTTTATACTTTTATTTCGCCACGTATACCTACCAATTATTACCAAATTCATGGTAATGCCTAAAAAGTTAGGTGGCATAATTGTATTGTTCGACGATATCCTTCTTCATATCCTTATAGACCAGGAGTTCTATCTGGGACCAAGGATACTATTATAGAGATAAGGATAGTTCGATTCTTATCTTCCTGCACTGTCAGTTTTTTTACGTCATCTACTGACCGAGTTGAAGTTGGCGCTAAAGATTTTAGACAGTGACAGTTATTTTTGCATTTGACGGACGAGCGCACAGTGCGTTGGAAGATTAATTTAGCGGGACAAAAGCGTTTTGATAGAAATAAACCAAAAAATGTGTATTGATAAGAATAAATAGTAGGCATTCCAATTGATACAAAAATGCGTGAATATTCTTTGTATTTCGATAATTTTTATCAACCAAATTTGGTCGTTTTCTGCTCAGCAAGGCAGAGATCATACGAAAACAAAATATTTACAAGTGCTTATACATTTTATTAGAAAGCCAAATTATGTTGAAGATTGCCAAAGGTATGTACTTTTCTACTGTACGTATATTATTTGTTAAAATCCTTCGTGCCTTTGTTCTGCAGATATCAAACTTTCACTTTTTTTTCAAATATCGATATATTAAATGATGTAGATCTTTTGAGTTACTAATAGTTACCAACACAGGTAGTCACAGTCACAGGGAGTTCAAGCTTAACAGATGAATGCCCAAAAAGATTCATTTCAATCGGATAGTATAAAAACAAAACAACTCCATCAAAAGGCACTGAGTTTAAAAAATTGTCTTAGATACTTACTATATATGAATTTACAATTACCGAGTGTTAAAATTAAAATTAAAATATCTATCTCATTTATTATTTTAAAAATAATTTTTTTTTAAATAAATTATAGAGGGTGTCACAAGATTACAAATTAATTAAAAAAAAACTGCTAAAGAGTTTTTTGATATCATAATTTTATGTATTTGGCAATAGTTTACAATACGGTTTTTGTGTGTCATGTACGAATAATATCATAGTTTTATCATCTTGTACTTATTTATTAATAAATTAAGTTGTTAATAAATAAATAAATTTAACCATATAGTTGCTATATATTAGACCATTTGCTACGTTCTTAGATTTTAAGTCCCAAACATTGCTCTTAAGATTTTGTCCCGCTAGAATAACCATCCGCCGCACTGTGGAGCGCTGGTCAGCGCGTGACGTACATAGCATTCCACGGCGACTACGACAGCGGCGATTTGACACGATCGAACAGTCCTTGATCTGGGACTACTAATTCTTGTACTACTTTTTTTTTCTCGCAATGGTACAAATTATACATTATACAACTCGCTCAATCAGTAATATAGGAACGTACTTAACATTTTCTAAACAATATGAACTGATCTCAGACACACCCTAAAACTCATATTTGATATACCGGGTGCGTGGCTCATAAAGTGGCTCACCCCCTATAACTTTTTATTTTTTCAGATAAAAAGGCGAGATTTGGTATGATAGAATATGACATAAATTAGGATTGATTCTATTTCACCGGAAATGACTATAACTTTTGATTTCTAAATGACACCCTCGGTATATTTCTACTTTATTCAATAGAAAATGACACTCTAAATTAAAATGACATATCATATGTCAACTTTGGCATTTTCGTTTAAAAAAATCGTATTTTAAATTCCAATCTAGAGTACCTTGGTTGTGTTAAAAACACTAATTTTTAATTAAAGAGCCTTGGTAAAATAGTTTTGATCGTCTAATGTTTTTCGTCCCCTGGTCAGTTAAAAGATACCCATATCCTATTTTTAATCGTATCTCAATTTTTTCCAAATGGAAGAAGGGCGGCTCATTAGCATATTTGAAAAAAACACATTTTTCACGGACGATTTGGTAGCACATACTTGGTATTTCGAGGCTAATTGTCATTATGAACCGCATGTTACAATTTCAAATAAACCATATGCGAAAATGTCATAAGTTTCATATGATATGTCATTCTATCATAGTATCTCATAGTCTTGTATCGAATAAAGTAGAAATATACCGAGGGTGTCATTTCCGGTGAAACAGGAAATTACCAAAAACAATTGAATACGTCAGTCAATGTTAATTTATGTCATATACGAACATACCAAATTTCGTTTTATTATCTGAAAAAATTAAAAAATTATAGGGGTGAACCACTTTTGAGACGCACCCGGTATAGATACAGGGTGAGTATTAAATAAGTGCAAATATTTTCAGGGGTGGTATATTTCGACCCCAGAAACACGTCTATGAGGTTTCTTTCGCAAAAAAATATGTTGAAAATCGTGCATTTTCTTTAAAATTTCCCTGTATATTTTTTAAAAACTTTTTAGAACTGCCTGTTCACTGCAAATTTTCCCACGGTATAATTTCTTAATCTCTGATATTACCATAGTTACGGCTTTACTCTATGGTTACGGCATAGGTTACGGCATTAAAAAGGATGCTAATACAGAAAATATCCGGTGGCTCTCAAATTTTTTCAAAAAAATTCAATTTTTTTTAAATTTTCAAACTTAAATAACTCGGTTATTTTGGACTTATCTGAAAAATGGTAATAATAAAAAATAATAAATAAATATATACCTAAACTCGATCTGCACTTTTAGAACCCAATATTGGTCTTGATCAAAATTTTGATCAAGACAATTTATTTTTTTAGAAAAACTGGCAAAAGAGTTTTTACCCGACGCATAATGATATCATTTATTATTACGTTCACAGCGTAACTGTGAACGATGGCTGAACAGTCTTTACATTTTATCGCCGAACGACACTATTATAGGAAAGTTGTACTCTTAGGTTGTACAAGACCAATATATCCAAGGTAGATAGATATAACTGCCATCTGTCATCTGCTATCTTGGTGTGTGTTCGTTCTACATAGATAAAGAAATATGTTTATTTAATAAATTAAGCGACGGACGTACCGCGCTTGGGATCGAACCGCGAACCTCGTATTTTCGGGTCAACAGCAAACACACATGCGATTGAACCACCGCTATCCACAATTATTTAATTTTGTATGCTTTTATATGAAATTTACCTAATAATGGTAGTACCACATTGACAGCATGTGGAGCTGAACGTCTCTCGATTTCGAAAATGATATCTATTGAAGGATAGGTACTGTTAGGACAGCAAGAATAGTTGCCTCTGTGGTATACTGTGTTGAAGGATAGGAGTTCCCATTCTCCATTAGGCTCCATATCTTCCAGATCTACAGTTGGTGTTAACTAAAGAATAAATATAAAATTATACATATCGTTGAGATGCCCAACCTAGCATCAGCCTGTGCTAGAATTCGGAGATTTAGTTTAGCTCTGCGCCGCTGCGCGCTGATCGTCGTTTATAGCTCAACGGATAAAGAATACTGTATCGTAGTTTTGCTTTTAGTCGACAGAGTGAGTGGTTGTCGGAGACAGTGTTGCCAGAACCACTGAATAATCCGTAGATTTACGGACGGTAGAGTACGTTAATAATACGGATTTTCTATCATTAAACAATTTAATATAATATTATATGATTAAACAAAGAACGGCGTCAGAGATGGATTGGAAATGAAGATCGCTGTTATTTCATACGTAAAAGATTATTTTTCATTATGTTAATAATGTTGTATGTAATACGTTAATCAATAATCATCATTTCCAAGCCTAAACTAAACGACTTTTCTCGATCATACGACATGTTCAGTACCTAACAGAATTTTTATTTTTGTTGTTTACTCATGTTTAACGCAAATAAATTTTCAATACATAAACGCGCATTTTTCATTCGTCAAACGTATTACAGATATTACACATGTTAATATGGCAACACTGTCGCTGTCAGATCCACAACGTCTTCGATATGCCTTCGTTGGCTGAATTAGAGAAAATAAGTGTTTTATGCGTATGCGTTGACCGCGCAGAACCATTGATGTCTCCACCGTACAGCACTTGAGACGCAAGGGGAAATAAAATTAACCTTGTCACGAATTCGCCGATTAGGTTGCGTATCTTCCCAATTCTTCAAGTAAAGCATTTTTACGCCTAAGCACAAAAGTACGAAAACATATTAATATTAATCAAAACATTAATAAAGTGTCAAACTCAGCGAGTGTTACCATAGATTCTCTCTATATATATAATTACTTATAAGGTATTACTTTTAGAGATTTTTATACTATTTACACCGTTTGAAATTGCTTAAAAAATTATTTGTGGCTTTTGAAAAAAATAGCATTTTCTATTCGAAATAAAACTTTTTTGTGGCTCACCTGTAATGCAATAAAAATAAATATATGTAACGTACAGCCTCGCCACAAAATGTATCATTTTTGCTCCTAATAAAACAATATACTATTTTTTTAAAAAGATTCCTATATATTTTTTATACTTATATGTTCTAAAGCGTAAAATTTAAATGTTAATTTATTTAAAGACAGCTAAAAGTACGAGTGTAAAAAGCACATTTTGGTTGCAAATGTCTCTGTTGCTTATTAGTAAAGATTGCGTTTTATGAAATTAAACATTCTGCTAACAAATTTACCTTAGCTCTCTTAGTTTTCAGAATACGGGGGGTTTTGAAAACTGTTGCAATCAGACACCTTTTGTAAATTAATTTATCTAACAACTTATCAAAAAGGAAAAAAAAGGATTCTTATAGGACCCTAGTTAATATCTTTCTTGCCTAGTATAATCATTTTGGAGTTTGAATGTTTTTTAAATGGGCCACTCTCTGTGTTTGTCAATAAATCGACTTGTCTATTTTGTAAGGTTTCCATGGCGATATAATAATATAGATCTATTTCTATAAACAACGGACAAAAATCATCATTTCCAATACAAACATTTAAAATTTTACAGACTACTGCCTCAACTCCACAATTTTACTGCCTCTTATCGTTCTTTAGTAATTTATTGTTAATTTTTTCTATTTTTCTCTTCAAAATGTTACAGACAACTGAAATACGAGGGTTGTCTGAAATTGCAGCTCTGTAACATCGACATTGATGGCCATGACAATTTTGTTTGTGGTACCTTTAGCTTCACAAAGAAATATATCTCAGATTAACAAAAACTATAAAATTTATCTTTACTAATAAGTGGGATACCTCTAATTTACAACCAAAATGTATACAAATACATGTATTCAGTACAAATACCATTTTTAATTTCAGGTCTTCTCCTTTGTGAACCCAAGATCCGAAGCGCACTGTACACTTCTGGACGTCATAAGGGTACTTTGTTAAGTCTGGTACGCAAAGAGCATCAATATGAATCGGAGGAACGCATAGTACAGAACCTTTAAAATTCACTGCGCAAGAAGTATCTGCCAGTGTTTTAGGATCACTAGACTGGTCTTTTCTATAAAAAAAAACAATGTTGATGATTTTTGTTCTTTTGTTTTCTATAACTATTACTTGTTATATATAGAAATATCAGGAACCCATAGATCATAGCTGGAAGACATATGGATGGATTTAATGCCTTCATATTCATCGGGCTTCCAGGTAAGATGTTGATCCGTCCAGTACTAAATGTCAAAAAAAATATAGTATATTACAGCTTGTCAAATATAGAATGATATTTGACGATTTTGTCACTGGTTTAAACGACAGAAAAAGAAATGAGAATGCATAGATAAATGAAACAAGTTCAGATTGGAAAGTGCCCATAATGACAATGTAAACACTATTTGGCCAAATAGTGTTTATTCAAATTTATTATTATTTTCGTTTAATTTTATAAATAAAATACAGTGTGTTGCATACAAGAAACATTATTTTATTAAAGGACGCATGTATGAAATACCTATGAAACATTGGAAACCGACGTTATGCCACGATCCACGATGGTTTTTGTAGTTCACAGCACAGCTTTTTAAGTTTTTAATGCCACTTTTTCACAATTATCACCGGTTGGAGTAAATAAAAATTGAATTAAACTCACAATATAGCAATAATTACTTTGAAAATGGACGCTATAAACACTTTTCGGAATTTCTTTAATGAGAGCGGTGTAGATTTTGAAAGATTATTATGATTTTTGAAGATTCTGACTTTGACAAGAGAAAATTATTTCTGTTTTTGTTTGCCGTTGTTCTTAGCGACCGCTATAGCAGCGCCAGATCGCGTAAAACGGTCGCGACCCAAAATAATTTCGCGACCTAAAATTTTTACGAGCTTTCCAATCTAAACTTGTTGCATTTATCTATGTGAGAATGTATTAAACGTAGCGTCAAAAAATGTGTACCTATGTTATTTTATATCTGAAAAGGTGCAGAAACGCGTTTATAGTGTGTAGGTTTAATTCATTCTTACATATTATATCATTACCTACAGGCTTGGTGCATTTCAGTTGATTTCAACAAATTCCGACAACAGCGCTTCAACGGCAAAAATCAGAAATGATTCCTACCTTTTTTCAAGCCGCCGCGCCGGCCGTCATTTTGATCGCATTAAAATAATATTGAAATCGTGGTTTTGTCATAATATTTAAGTATTTTAGTTTTTGCTAGAGCAGTTATTGCGACCATAAAACACTCTGGTACGAGGTTTGTGGGATGTGACGCTATTTCGAGTAAAAAATAAGTGAAAAAAATCGAACTAGGCGTCGCCACCGTCTTGTCGTGTTGTGACAATTTTAAATGTTAATAAAATTACCGAAAAAATTTTAACGCATAAAGGAGAGCGTATGGCATTGTTGGCTGCAATAACATTCAATAATTCAACTTTCCCGGATATTCAACACTCCCGAAACAAAATTTTATAGCTTCGTAGTTTCTCACACCGATTTCATCAAAAGCAAAATGGATTGGACTGGTTCGACGAAACAAGTGAATAAACAAAGTGCTGGTTACATAATCAAAAATTAAAAAGACATGAGAGGATAAAATATAATTTGCAATATTAATGGTATAATTTTTTTAATCAACTACCCAGACAGCACAGTGACATTTTAAAGACATCTATAAGACAACTTGTTTTAACATTACTGACATCTCAAAGACGTCTATTTTCGCCTTTAGACGTATTAAAGGTATCTTACCAACGTCTGATGTTAAAAACCCAACATCTTTAAGACGTCTTGAGTACAATGTCTTTAAGATATATTTTAACAATGTACTTAAGATGTCTTTTAATATGAATGAAAATGGGAGACAATGGTGAATTATAAAATAAAACATCTTCTTGGACTGGCATTGTCTTTAATTTTTAAATTAAGCATGTTTCTCTCAGATGTTACACTGACCAATATGAAGTGAACAGTTAACATTTTATAATAGTGATATATCTGACCGAAACGTTATGTATTGGTATTTTCTTCTTGGACAACCACTTCAGATGTGTTATCATGCGCATCTAAAATATGAATCATAGAAATAAGATAATTGTTCAAATATATCTAACAACCTAAATGTTTTAAAGTTACCTGGCTTACCTACAATATCAGCTTTAACTTCTTTGGTCAACTTTAATGATGAAATTTTGGTAAATTCTCTGATGAAACTTTATATCACGTCCCTTTGCCAAACGGTTTTGCGCGCCTTTTACAACTTACAACAACGACAAGAACAAACATTTTCCGCGAGGTTTTCCAGAGATTTTCGATCAGATAACCTCACATCAACCACAACCACAGAAGATAACTGTCACGCCTGTCAATCGTCATATTTGCGCCTATAAATTAAATCATTATAATGTTTTTATTTCTGTTAAGATTATACCATATATCTGTCATATTATACCAGATTATACTCCCCTTTTTATGATTATCGTCTACTTTAGAAAAAAACGAGATAAATAGAAAAATTAAATTTAAAATTTCTAATCATTTCTAATGTCATTTTAGAGACGTCCTGAAAATGTTTTATTTCGTCATCTTATGAATATCTTTAAAATGATGTCCAAAGTTGTGTTATTTTAGTCTTTAGGCGTTAGGACCTAATTAAGATATAAAAAGACGTCTTTAAGATATTATGTGCTGTCTGGGTAGTAATTAAATATTTTATGAACATCTTCTAAAATTATAATTATGTACCTTTAAAACATTTCGTTATAGCCGAAATAGTCCCAATTATGCCCCACTAGCAAAACCAAAAAATTAAAACTATGCTCGTTACCGTAATTGAAATTGAACTCATCTAAAAAGTTTTTTAACTGGAATAATATATTATAATAAGTTAGACCTTCTAAAGATATCAAAATATTTCCTTTTTTTATTTTTAGAATTTTCACAAATTATACTTCCTAACACTTTTACAACAAATTTTTCGTATTCTCGCTATTTAAACCCGTGTACTTGTAAGTAGGAGTTGTTTACGTTATTCTCCGATGGTGGCAGCACCGGCGGAGAGTGCACCAAGCCTATACACCTTTATAAAATATTAAAAACAAAAAATGCCTAAAATATATATGTTAGTACTAATTAGTACTGTTTTTTATTGAATAAATAGTTACATTAAATTTTCACGAAGGAAGCTGATGTATGATTATAGTTATTTAATTTAATAAACCATTTCCTGACGTTACCAGTAATATTTGCATTTTGAATATAACACACCAAAAATACAGGATTACCATTGCACTACAAAAATTTATCTATGTAGTAATATTTTAATAACATTATAAATGTTTCAAATGTATACCGTGTGACAAAATAAAAATTACGTGAAATATATCGGTAAAGTTCGAATTATAAAGTCTAGGGTAATATGTTATATGTTTCTTAAATAAATATTTTTGAAAAGTTCGTATACCGGGTGCGTCTCAAAAATAGCTCAGCCCTATAACTTTTTTATTTCTTTAAATAAAAAATAAATAAAAAAAAACGAGAATTGATATGTAAGTATATGACATAAATTATGATTGATTGACGTAATCAATTGTTTTCTGTCACTTCCTATTTCACGGAAAATTACTACAACTTTTGATATTTATATGGCACCCTGAATAGCGTGACATATGATATGTCAACTTTTGACATTCTTGCTTAAAAAATCGTATTTTAAATTCCAATCTAGAGTGCCATGGCTATGTTAAAAACGGCAATAAGGAGCCTTCGGAACATAGATTTGATCGTCTGTTTTACGTACTGTTTCTTGTCCTGGCCAGTTAAAAGATTACCAAATCGTATTTTTAACCATTTTTTTTTTTAAATAGAACAAGGGTGGCTCATTAGCATATATTAAAAAGTCTATTTAGTCATTTTCTATCAAATGAAGCTAAAAAATACCAAGAATGTCATTTAAAAATCAAAAGTTGCAGTCATTTCCAGTGAAACAGGAAGTGGCCGAAAAGAATTAAATACGTGAATCAAGTTTATAATATATACAGGTATTTTATTGTTTACCCTTGTTTATATAATATATTCCAAGGGGTGTCTCGCTATTGGAATTACATGTACATTTTCTTGGCAGTCTTCTTCGTAGTCATCGGCAGTCGCTTGGCAGGAAAATTATATTTTGGCAGTACATGTACATTTTTACCTCAGTGAGACACCCCTCGATATATTCTTAGCATTTTACTTACTGTAGGAAACCAGGCATCTATGCTCAACGTATGCGTAAAATGATCCTAAAAAACATGTAATCAACAGTTTTCATCCCAACGTACATTTTAAAAAACTCACATAAGTAAAATACTTTAGCAATAATCGAAATGATACGGTTGTGGCGTTCCGATGATCTTTCACCGATCTTATGGAAGTATCATAGTCACATAGTAACGCTGATCTAAGTCTGGCAATTGTGGTGGATCCCGAACTATTGGGACAATTAAACCTTTCACTTTCGGCAATCACTGAAACAGATAAATTTCCTATTTTTGAGTCCTTCTATACTTCTTCCACTATCACAGTTGCAATCATAAATTAAACAAAAAAAAAATACAGAACACCATACCTATCATAATCATTTATCAGAATACACTACCATTGTTATAGCGTATATTGGTCAAGATATTATTTACGGTAGTTGGCTGTGACATCTGAGTATTTGTATTCATTGTATCATGAGAGACATCCTTATGATACAATGAACAACTTTAAATAATTTTTTATCCAGTTTTAAAAAATTAAACCATTTCATTGCAAATTACTGAAATAAGCTAAAGTGTTTCCTGAAATGATTATGATTTTTTTATATATTATGTTCAATTGCCTTAAACACAAACCTACTATACCGGGTGCGTATCAAAAGTGGCTCACCCCTATAACTTTTAATTTTTTCAGATAAAAAACGACATTTGGTATATTAATATATGCCATAAACTAGGATTGATTGACGTATTCAATTTTTTTGTCACTTCCTGTTTCGCCGGAAATGACAACAACTTTTGATTTTTAAATGGCACCATCGGTATTTTTTTACTTTATTCGATAGAAAATGACACTGAATAGAATGACATATCATATGTAAATTTTTGAGATTTGCGACAAAAATAGATTTTATCGTCCAATGTTTTTCGTGTCTTATCCTGACTGATTAAAAGATGTCCAAATCGTATTTTTATTCATATCTCAATTTTCTCAAAT